AATGGGCCCCCCAAAACGGCCCAAGAGAGCCCCAGGGCGCGCCCAAGAGAGTCGACCAGAGAGCTGGTCCGACTTCCCACACTCTACACAAGGTCCGTCCCCGGCGGTGCATCAAGCAGGTGTTGCCACTGGAGTCCGCACTTGAATGAGAAATTCCAAACATTGTTTCGCACAGGTTTTCCTGTGTCTGTGACACGCTAGAACCTAAGCGCACGCGAACCGCGCGTGGTTCTTATATATGTATGTATGTCTGTATGTCTGTATGTCTGTATGTCTGTCTGTCTGTCTGTATGTATGTCTGTCTGTCTGTCTGTCTGTCTGTCTGTCTGTCTGTCTGTCTGTCTGTCTGTCTGTCTGTATGTATGTATGTATGTATGTATGTATGTATGTATGTTTGTGTGCATGTATGTACGTATGCATGCATGTATATAGATATATGTATGTAAATTCCGCCTCCCCGGTCCCACACCTCCCCGCCACATCTCGGGGACGTTCCCGGTACCGCTCGCTCCCCCAGCCTTTTCCGGGGAGCCTCCACAGCGCTCCAGGAAGGCCCAAGACGCCCCCCAGGAGCCCCCAAAATGCGAAAGGATGGCCCAAGACGCTCCCAAGCAGCCCAAGTCAGCCTTCCGACGGCTCTCGAGGCTCCCAGGTGGCCTCCAAAAGACCCCAAGAGAGGTCTGATAGGTGTCACGGGACGGCCCGAAGAGGCCCAAATCGTAGATGTTCATGGGTTTTTTTAATGTTTTTGGCTTCTCGCGTGTTCGAGCTTCCAGTGTCCAAGAGCGCCGAAGATCCTCCCAAGACCGCCACAAGACCCCCCAAGAGACCCTCAGGACGGCAACGAGACGGGCCAAGAAGGCTTCAAGACTGCCGAAAAGGCGCCCGGCATAGCCCCAGACTGCCCCAGAACAGGCCCAAGATGGGCCCAAGAGCGGGAGCAGGAGGCTTCCAGATCCCAACACACCCCCGATCCCTGAGAGGCCCCAACGAGACCCCGACGAGGCTCCAAGAACAGCCCGAGAGAGCTGCGAGAGCCGTCCCGAGAGAGCCCAAAGAGGGCAAAATCGTTAGTTCCCCGTTTGTTTTCCAATGTTTTTCCGCCTTCCCACGTTTTCCCGCTTCCAACCCTCGAAGAGATCGAGGATTTGGGGAAAAAAGGGGACTTCCCAGAATTCCCTTTTTTCATCAAAGTGGAACTTCTACTCGGGGGTCCCACACATCCCCTGACATCTGGCGGGTACCGCGCCTCCCGGCCGGCTTCTTAACGGTTTCGCGGAGCCTTCGAAGGCCCCAAGGAATCTGGGAATTCTGGATTTGGGTTCGATGGTCATCCATTCAGGACTCAGGACAGAAATTCATGCGCAAACCAAGCATGTCCATCTCTCGTTCAAGTGCCGTGTGGGATAGGCAATGCCCGGGTTTTCAATTGCATTGCGCTGCAGCCCAGGGTAGCAGCGCCTTCCACGCAGCAGAATCCAGCGAGCTGCAGCCCAAGGTAGCAGCTCATGTACAGCGCTGGCCGCTGTATCCCAGGAGCAAGCGACGCCCGCTGGCCGCCAAGATGGCACCTTAGTGGTCCAAGACGCTCCAAGATGTTTCAAGGCGGCCCCCAGGGGCCACAAGCTGCCCCAGTGGAACTCCCAAAGGCCATCCCAAATGACCCCAGAGAGCCAGAAACACAAAAGCTATTCAGGTTTTTCCATGTTCAGTAAATCTCACGCTCGTCTCCTTCGGATGGCTTCGAGAGAGCTTCACATGGCGCCGAGGCTCGAGACGGCCCCACAACTTCGAAGAAGAGCCCAAGAGGGACCCAAGCGGGCCCCAAGGCCTTCAAGGCAGCCCCAACAGGAAAATCCACAAGAGACCCGTACAGTTCAAGCCAGCCCACTTCATATTGAATATCTTCCCACGCCAGCCCTGAACAGCTCGAAGCCCCCGCATAATCCCAAGCAAGACGAGAAACGAATAGCGAGGACACCCGAAAGAGTCTGGAGGGTTAACGAGGAAGGACGTATAAGGAATATTTGAGGACGAGGTAGGGCAAGGCATGGAATGAGCCTGTCCGAAAAGCACGCGCAGCTCACAACGCCATGGCATGCGCTAGAACCCAAGCGCGCGCGAAGCGCGCGCGCGGTTTTGTATAATGCAAATATATACCGCCCCCCCTGGCCCCGGGTCCCTCCCCGCCACATCTCGGGGACGCTCCCGGTACCGCTCCCCCGGCCTTTCCGGGGAGCCTCCACAGCGTCCAAGGACGGCCCAAGACGCCTCCCAGAAGCCCTCAGAATTCGAAAGAATGGTCCAATACGCTCCCGAGCAGCCCATGTCAGCCTTCCGACGGCTCTCTTGGCTCACAGGTGCCCTCCAAGAGACCCCAAGAGAGGTCTGATAGGTGTCACGGGACGGCCCGAAGAGGCCCAAATCGTAGATGTTCATTGTTTTTGTTCCATGTTTTTGGCTTCTCGCGTTTTCGAGCTTCCAATGGTCCAAGAGCGCCGAAGAGGCTCCCAAGACCACCCAAGAGATCCTCAGGACGGCCCCAAGACGGGCCAAGAAGGCTCCAAGATTGCCGAAAAGGCGCCCAGGACATCCCCAGACCACCCCAGAACAGGCCCAAGATGGGCCCAAGAGCGGGAGCAGGAGGCTTCCAGAGACCTCCGAGAGGCCTCCGGGACCCCCCAGAGGCCCCCAACACCCCCCCGATCCCTGAGAGGCCCCAACGAGACCCCGACGAGGCTCCAAGAACAGCCCGAGAGAGCTGCGAGAGTCGTCCCGAGAGAGCCCAAAGAGGGTAAACTCGTTGATTTCCCATGGTTTTTCTAACGTTTTTCGCCTTCTCACGTTTTCCCGCTTCCAACCCTCGAAGAGATCGAGGATTTGGGAAAACATCGGAATTCCCAGATTTCCATATATTTTTTTCAAAGTGGGACTCTTACTCGAGGGTCCCACACATCCCCTGACATCTGGCCGGTATCGCGCCTCCTGGCTTCCCGGGGGGAAGACCCCAAGACGCCGAAGGACAGCCCATGACGACCTCAAGGAGCCACCATAACGTCTAGAACGGCCCAACACGCTCCCGCGCAGCCCGAGACACTCTTCCGGCGGCTCCTCAGGCCTCCAGGAGGCCTCCAGAAGCTCCAGGGGGTCCGGAAGATCCCACACCCCTGAGGGGCCTGGCTAACAACACCCGCGAGGCACAAACATAAGACAGCGCCGAACAGCGCCGAGGAAGTGGAAAAGCATGGAAATCCCACAATTCTTTTTTTTCCAAGCCTGGCCCCCGGTCTACTCTTGCACAACAGACCACAATTGAGACCCCCCTCACCTCCCCCCAAAAAACCCAGGAAGCCATTGAGGGCCCCAACTCGTTGAATACCTATGAGGAAATTAATGATTTCTGCGTTTCCGCACTTCCCCTTCTATATGATTCCGAGGCTTGAGCAAGGCCTCCAAGGGAGTCCCTGGACGCAAGAAGCGACCAACATGATATTACATTAGTTAGCCTATCAAGCCTAGCTAGAACTTGAGCGCGCGCGAAGCGCTCGCGATGGTTCTAGTTACATATTGGAAAGATCATTTTCTCCTGACGCCTGGTGGTCTTGTGTCCAGGGTCAAACATCCTCCACTCATCCAAGGCATTCCGCACCCTGAACACAAATCGAGGCGGCCGCCGTGTCGCCATTATTTGCTTTGGAGGCCTGCTCCGGGATTGGGAGCCGTCAAAAACGACTCGGGATGAAAAGGTGGCCAGGGAAGGGGTCAAGAGGTCCAGGCCCAGGTATCAAAGACGAGCCGCTGGCTGTCTTTGTCCAGAACTGTGCTGGGGTGCTCTCTGGTGCGAATGTCGAGCTGCAAATGAGGACCAGGAGGAGGAGGGTGAGGGTGAGGGGGAGGGGGAGGGAGGAGGAGACGAGGATGATGAGAAGCGGGAGCAGAAGCGAGGAGGAGGAGGAGGAGGAGGAGGGAGGAGGAGGAGGAGGAGGAGGAGGAGGAGGAGGAGGAGGAGGAGGGAGGAGGAGGAGGAGGAGGAGGAAGGAGGAGGAGGAGGAGGAGGAGGAGGAGGAGGAGGAGGAGGAGGAGGAGGAGGAGGAGGAGGAGGAGGAGGAGGAGGAGGAGGAGGAGGAGGAGGGAGGAGGAGGAGGAGGAGGAGGAGGAGGAGGAGGAGGAGGAGGAGGAGGAGGAGGAGGAGGTGGAGGAGGAGGAGGAGGAGGAGGAGGAGGAGGAGGAGGAGGAGGTAGAGGAGGGGGAGGGGGAGGAGGTGGTCCGCAGGGTCAGCTCTCGGGAGCCTTGAGGCGGGGGTCAATGCAAGCGGGGGCCAGCCAGAGCGCCCGATCTGGCAAGATCCTGCAGGACCAGGGTAGCATTGACCCGGGTTTGGGTGCAGGATCCCGCAGGATCCCTCGCATTGACCTGGGTTTGGGTGCAGGATCTTGCAGGATCTTGCAAAGCCCGACTGACCCGGGTCTGGATCGACCCAGGTCAGAAGATCCCCGACGAAATGGATGGTGAGGGCGGGTAGCCTTCTCGAAGACGTCTTGGCATCCCTGCCTCTTCGGTGTGGACTTTCTTCCGAAGAGGAAGAGGTACCGATGCTGCTACCCTTTGCCCGTTTTCTCTTTTTCGGCCTCCTCGGAAGATCTCGTTGCCACCGCTGGACTCGCCTCGAAATCCTGGTCAGAACGCATCCCCGGAGAGGTCCAGGGAGCAGTGGTGTGGGTACCTTGTGGTTTCCCATGTATACTAGTGTACAGTCGGGGCCCTGCAGAAGGAACCCTTTTCGTTGGGGAGGGGCTCGGTGCTCCTTGATTGGTCTACAGTTTGCCTTCTGTTTTTCTTAGGTGTTCCATGGGAAATCAAAGTTCAATGTGTGGAGAAAAGGGGCCCCGTTCCTTATTTAGGGTTCCTTAGGTCAACGCCCCGACTGTACCCAGGGGTTCGCTAGGGATTGGTTTCCCACCAAAAGCTGCGAAAACCCTTCCCACCCTCTCTCCCGGGAGCGCGGCGCGCCCGGACGCTGGACCGGCCCCGCGGCGCCCGCTGCCGCAGACTTGTCTCACCCGCCCGGCCAAACCCGCCCCAGCTGCGGCGTGCTTGTATGTACAGAGCCCAGTGCCGCCACGCCTCCTCCTCCCCCCGGTCCTGCCCCCCCCCTCCCCCACGTCCCCCGCTCCAGGGGGAGGAGTCCATGTGGGGGCAGGAAAGGTTTATGCCTTTCACAAGTCGCCTTCCAATCTGGTGAGCAAGCCTGGTTCTGTCGCGAGCGTGGGCGCTCTGTTCAGGATTAGGTGAGAGGGTTGGCGTCTGAGTGCCTCCCCGCTCAGCCCACCAGGGAGCGACGTGACGTGTATATTCGGGTAGGCTGGCCAGGGGGTTGAGACCCAAGGACCTTTCTCTGCCACCCTCGCTTGCCATCCTCGGTGGTGGAGCTTCGCTTCTGTTCCGCTTCCGATTCCGAGTCTCCACCTCTCCCCCGCCCTCTCGCCCGCAGCGCGGACGCCCCGCACCCGCCTCGACCTTCCTCGGGGGCTCTCTGGACAGCGTGCCCCGTTCCGGCCCGCCGATCTCTGCCCAGGCCCAGGGCAGACCAAATCCCCGCTTCCTCCTCCTCCTCCTGCTCCTGCTCCCCGCTTTCCCTCCGCTTCCTCCTCCCCCCGTGGCCTCCGAGCCGCCACCTCCCTCTCGCCTCCCCCCCCCCCCGGCTGCCTCACGGATGACGGCCCGGCTCGCGCCTTAGCGTGGAAGGCCGCCCGAGACGACCTCGCGCGGCGGCCGGCTTCGCGAGAAAGGTCCAGCCAGGCGCAAAGGGGGGGTACGGGGGAGGGGCAAGGTTTCTGAGAAGCACCCCTGCTTCTTAGAAGGCGCGGGCCTTGTCCGTAGGTGTAGTGCCGGCGCCTCCTGAGGAGCAGCCTCCTTCTAACCAAGAAGCCTTCCCCCCTCCCCCTGCCCCCCCGCTGCGCGCCGCCAAAAGGTGCGCCCAGACACCACGTCGCCAGGGGTTGGCGTGGCCGCCGCCGCCGCTGGCGAGTCCAAGGGGGGCGCTCCCCCGCGGTGGCCCAGGCTTTGCCGCTGGGAGGCTGGCCACCGCGCGTGCGGCCGGGGCTCTCACGGGCCTCGAGGCCCGGGCGGCGGGGTGGGGCACATGCGCCTCGGCTTACGTTGTTCCCCTCGTACTTCAGGACCACATCCCAGACGTAATTTCGAGCACCCGGAACAGTATCGAAGCAGCGTCGAGCGAGTATGGCCGCCCAGGGCCCGACAAGTGAGAGCCCTCAAGCTTCGTTACTTCCTTGGCGCTCGAGCTTCTTGCTGGTGAGCCAGCTTAAAGTAGGTTGGAACATCAAAAGTCTTGGCTGATTGAGGGCGTCCGCGGTTCGGTCGGCTGTCGCGTCGCTGCTGCGTCGCCGCGCCCTTCTCGGTCGCGCTCGCCCGCTCTGGCTTCGGTCGGCCTCGGTGTCGCTGTCGGCCTCCCCGTCGCCGTCGACGGCCCTGCTCGAAGAGAGGTCGAGGCGGCCGACCTGTCGCCACTTCTGGCCGCCCCCCCCCCCCGAAGCGCCACGACCACGTCGGCGACGACGGCGCTGGTGGCGACGACGACGATGGCCTCGACGAGGGGGGCGACGGCGACGCCTGCGACGAGGGAGCCAGCCTCGGGCCTCGGGGCCCCTGGCTGACTTCTTCGTCGGCGGCGAGGCGGCGAAGCTGCTCCGGCGGGCAGCGATTCGGGGCGACCGGAGGGCGCACTGGCCGGCGTGCAGGAGGGGAAGAAGGGAGAGGGGCGGCCGTGCGGAGGACAGGAGGAGGAGGAGGAGGAGGAGGAGGAGGAGGAGGAGGAGGAGGGGGAGGGGGGGGGGGGGGAGGGGGAGGAGGAGGAGGAGGAGGAGGAGGAGGAGGAGGAGGGGAGAGGAGGTGGAGGAGGGGGAGGAGGAGGAGGAGGAGGAGGAGGAGGAGAGGAGGAGGAGGAGGAGGAGGAGGAGGCGGAGGAGGCGGAGGAGGCGGAGGAGGAGGAGGAGGGGGAGGAGGGGGAGTGGGAGGAGGAGGGGTAGGAGGCGGAGGAGGAGCAGGAGGAGGAGGAGGAGGGCACTCGGACGCAGAAGACTACCTCGTCGAGTGGGCCAGTGCGGCCAGGGGCCCTTGACAAGCGCACCGCTCGGAAGCAGGAAGTGCCAGTCCCCCCCCGGAGGAGAGTGTCGGGGCCCATGGGGGACCCCACCTGATATTCAAGCAGTGGCGAAGCATCCCGGCGTGCCTATAGTCCTACCAAACAATGTTCTAAGAACCCTTTGTGACTTCCAGGAAACATTCTTAGAACATGTCTGGCGGAGTTTGTCTTGTTTTTTCACATCGTGTTTAAAACCTTGTTTTTGTTGTTAAAAAAATTGTTGGTTCTAAGAAAATTTCGTGGTAAAGCTAGAGGAGTGCCAGGACGGTCGGTCCCTGCTCAAAACAATCCAGCGTGGCGGAACCAAACATGTGAGATGGTTTTGTCATGGAAAGCGTGACGTTCCCACACCAAAAATCCATGGACGTCCTGGGGTCTCGGGGTTGGGCTTCTTGTGGAAGGTTTCTCGTGGTCGGGCCTCCACTGTGTAATGGCCTTCGGCCCATCCTGCCACCGTGCCTGGGTTGTGGGCAGATGTTCTCCTACAGACGGATTTTGGAAAACAAATAAAACACAGTCAAACAATTTTCAAGCATATTCACATCTGGTCAAAATTTCGCCCCCATGCTGTTTTTGACTATGTTTTAAGATTTCTCATGCAGAGGGGCGTGCCCGACTTACGTATTCGAGGTTCGTTGGGATCTCGTGGGAGGCCTCTCGGGGGCAATCATGAGGGAGCGTTTCGGGGATTCGGAGGAGGCTTGCTTTTCAACAGCTCCTTCCACGGTTGCTCCTCTACGAGCGTCCCTCGTGCATCCAGGCGCTCGTGGAGCCATCAAGGACTTCGTTCCTGATTCGGCGTTCTTCATGGTAGCAGCTTGACGTACGTAATTAGTCCACGCCGATGATTATATATGTATGGTTGTGTGTATGCGTTTATGTATGTAAGCATATAAGGATGTAAGTATGTACGTATGTATGTATGTAGAGATGTACATATACATATGCATGGTTGTGTGTATGTATGTATGTATGTTTGTATGGATGTATGTGTGTATGTATGTATGTATGTATGTATGTATTTATGTATGTACGTGCGTATGTACGTACGTACGTACGTATGTATGTATGTCGGTATGCATATATGCATGAATGTATGTATGTATGTATATATGTAGGTGTACATGTATGTATGTACGTATGTATGTATGTATGCACGTAGGTAAGTGGGTCGGTAGGTCGGTATGTATGTATGTATGTATGTATGTATGTATGTATGTATGTATGTATACATGTATGTATGTACGTGTGTATGTACGCATGCATGCATGCATGTATGAATGCATGCATGTGTGTACGTATGTATACACATACGTATGTATGTATGTATGTATGCATTTATGTATGCATGCATGTGTGTGCATGTATGTGTGGATGTAAGTATGTAAGTATGCATGAACGGCAGTACGTATGTATGCATGTATGTGTATATTCATGTATGTATGTATGCATGCATATAATGTGTATAGTGTCTTTAATGCATGCATGTATGCATGTATGAATGTGTGCATACCAGAATTGACGTATACATGCCTATGTGTATGTATGCATGCATGCATGTATGCATGTAAATGTATGTATGCATGCATGCATGCTTGCATGTATGTGTGCATGCATGTACGCATGTGTGTACGTATGTATATATGCATGCATGTATGTAAGTATGTATGCATGTATGCATGCATGTATGAAACCATGTGTATGTATGTATGTATGCATGTACGTACGTACGCACGTACGTACGTATGCATGCATGCATGCATGCATGCATGCATGCATGTATGTATGTATGTATGTGTGTGTAGTTGTACGCTCAAATATACAAACACACATATCCATATATGTAGTTATACATGTATGTATTTCCGCGGCGTCGGGCAGGGCAGGGCAGTGGAGGGGGAAGGAGGGGGTGGGGCCCTCCTGATCTGCAGTCTGGTTCCAGGGCGGCGCGCCTGGGGGCCAGGCGCGGCAATGCCAGGCCATGTTGGGCCGGGCGCAGCTGGTCGTCGGGGCCACTCTGCTGAACTATGTCACGTATTCGGCCTGGACGCTGTGGAACAAGCATCAGTTCAAGCACGAGGGGCATGGTCTGAGCGTGCTACTCACCGCGTATCAGATGCTTTTCGCCGGGGGCATCTGTTGGGCTGGAGTCGGCCTCGGGATCGTGCCCCGCAGGCCCCTGTCCAAGGAGGCGTTCCTGCGCCGCATTGTGCCGCTGGGCCTCTGCCGCAGCGCCGACATCGGCTTCGGCAACGCTGCCCTGGCCGTCGTGTCCGTCGCGCTGCAGCAGATCGTGAAGAGCACGATTCCGGTGTACGTCGGTGGCGGGCGAGGGGGGGAAGTGAGAAGGAGAAGGCCTTCTCAGAAGGCTCGGAAGGCCCCTGGCCTTCTGAAAAGTTTTCTAAACCTTCCCCGAAGACACCAAAGAGCCTCTCAGAAGGTGCGAGGGCTTCTCAGAGAAGGCTCGCCGCCTTCTGAGAGAAGGCCTTCTCCTTCTCCTTCCCCCCTCCTCGCTCGCCGCCGAGCACGTCTGCGTGCTGACGGTGCTGGTCCTGCGGCGGCCGGTGCGGCTGCGCATTTGGATCACGCTGGTGCCCGTTGTGGGCGGCACTCTCGTCGCGGCGGCCGGCGAGGTCTCCGCGAGCGCCCCAGGCCTGTGCCTGGCGGTGGCGTCCTGCGTCGCCCGGGCTGGCAAAAAGACGCTGAACCACCTGCTGCTGCACGACGCCGCCAGCCAGCAGAGGTTCAGTATCGTTTAACTGACCCCCATGCCCATCCCCATCCCCATCACCTTCGAGACCCCCACCAAAGTACCACACCCAGTTTGGGTTACACCCCTTTGAGCCCGAAAGGGACGGCCTATATCCCCATCTAGGAGGTAAGTCGGCCAGTGGGGCCCAGGCCACGCCGATGTATACTCAGAGGTACACGCCCGCGGAGATCATCGGGTACGAGTCCCCTCTCTCGGCGGCGAGCGAGGGGGGGAAGCGAGATGGAGGAGGCCTTCTCTCAGAAGGCGGCGAGGCTTCTCAGGAGCCCTCGCGCCCTCCGAGAGGTGCCCTCTGCATCGCCGGGGACGGCCCCGAAGGCTTCCCAGAAGGCCGGGGAACCTCCGAGCCTTCTGAGCAGACCTTCTCCTTCTCGCCTCCGCCCCTGCCTCGCCGCCGACTCTCAGCGGGCTGCTGCTCCTGGCCGCCGGGCTCGCCCTCGAGGGTGACCGCCTCGGGGAGCTGCTGCTCGGCGCTGGCCTGGCGCAGGAGCCCGGCGTCGGGGTCCTGGTCGCGGAGGGGTCGGCGGCGTGGCTGCCCCCGAGCTCGGGGGGCGCGCAGCGGCTGCTGCTGGCGAACTCGGCCATCGCGGTGCTCATGTACCTGAACCAGTGGAGCTACAGCTGCGACGAGGCAAAGCGCGGGTTCACAGAGGTGAAGCGTAGAGTCAGTCTCCTTGCCCCCCCCTCGCTCCGCAGCTGATGCTTCGCGGTGCACTGTGTCCTCTGCCCTCCTTGCTTCCTCCGCAGCCGTTCGGGTCGCAGCTTCCGTGGCAGGAGCCAACGGGTCCAGCTGCGCCGGCACTGGCGCGCAGGCTTCCCGCGCGAGGTCGCGCGTGCGCGCCCTCGTCTCCGGTGTGGCGTGCCGCGCTGGCGGCCCGCGCGAGCCACCTCGTGAGGTCGCGGCGCCACCTCGCGTGAGGCCCGCCTTTTCCTGGTCGCTCCCGTGACCATCATAGAGACCACCTCCGCCATGACGTGCGGCATCCTCATGAACGTGAAGATGGTCGCCCTGATCCTGGCCTCCGTGTGCATCTTCGGCAGCAGCCTCGGCCCCCTCAACTGGCTCGGCATCCTGGTGGCCGTGGCGGGCGCCGCCTGGTACGCTCGGGAGCAGGGCCGCGCCGCGAAGCCCGAGGGCGGCCCCGCAGCCGGCAGCGTGGGGCGCGCGGGCTCGGGGGCAGCGATGGGGGGGGATAGGCCTGCCCCCGCCCGCTCCTCCTCCTCCTCCTCCTCCTCCTCCTCCTCCTCCTCCTCCGCCTCCTCCTCCTCCTCCCCCTCCTCCTCCTCCCTTTTCTTCCTCCTCCTCCTCCTCCTCCTCCTCCTCCTCCTCCTCCTCCTCCCCCGCCCGCTCCCCCGCCCGCTCCCCCCCGGGGATGGGCACATGTGGGGGGGGGACGCATCGACCTCCGGGCGCCCACTGATCTCAGATGGGGGCCCGACGGCCACGGCCCGCCCAGGAAGGTGCGCATGCGCTGTCGGAGGCCTATTGCCGAGCCTGTCGGCGATGTATCGCGGATTCCAGGTCGATGCTTCCCCCCTATCCCTATCCCCCTCCTGATGCTGCCCCTCGCGGACGCAGAAGTCGGCGGGGATGCAGCCCCCGGGGCAGCTCAGCGGAAGAGTGGCACCGGTGCCGAGTAGCGTTCAACCGGTGCTCTTAGGCGTGTTGTGCGTGAGAGTAAGTGTTCTTGAGCACGAGTTGTTATCTTCTCGGGCTATTGACGTCTATTGTTGTGTGTTAGTGGTTGCGCTGCTCCTGATCCTCGCCTTTTCTGCCCCTAGTAGGTGTCAGCAGCGGCTAATGGCCGCTACTAGGGACAATGGAGGCACTAATCAGCGCTAGTAGAGCGGAGCCTATCTTGAAACCACTCTCACACATGATACACACAAGTACTGGTCTTCAGGCCTCACGCTAGCGGCAAGCCTGGCGTGACGGCTCTCACAAAGTGGCGTGGCGCAGGAGATGTTAGCACAGCGTCCCCATCAAAACAACGACTCCCCGTCGGTCTCCCACTCTCTTTGAAGGCGCATCGCTATCTAATCCGGCAGCGCGCGCCCGTTGATGTATGCTAGAGGAGTAGAGGCTGGAAGAAGTGCGGGCGCAGCGCCAAAAAACAACGCTGGCGGAAGACGCGGACAGACAGGGGGAACCAACACAGCAAGCAGTCGAAATGAGTGCGCAGCCACGGCGGCAAAAGAGTAAGAAGTGCCAGAGCTCCCCATCTCGGGAACTACTTATGTAGAAGTCTTGGGTGCATCTTCGAGCCCTCTCGTGCCTTCCCTGGGACCATGTCAGGCCGAACTTCCTGGGAATGTTTGACGCTTCGCGTATCCCCACCAGTCCGCCGACACTGGCGGCTTTGTTTGCAAATTCGCCCCGTACCGCCATCCGGACGCCGCTTTCGCTCCTTGACCGTTGCTTTGGAGCCGCCGACCAAAAAGTATCCCCACCAGCAGTCGCGACGGCTCCCCTGGGCCCACCCCATCCATCAGGCAGGTTTGCGACGTCACCTCGGCAGCTCAGCCCAATCAGTTCGCATACGCCGCTGGGGCGGCCCTGGGCCTGGCGCCCCGCTGGCGACTCGTCCATCGTTCACCTCGCCCGTCGCCTACCAGGCATGTGGGACGCGTAGGCATCTGCGCACACGTCCTCGCGCTGCCTGAGTGGGTTATGCCTCACGGCATACACCGAATTTCCGGGCACTGCTAGGCTGCACGTGCCCGAGCTTCCCTGGATGCCCTCAGCCTGTCAGCTTTCCCGCGCAGCCCCGCTGCTGCTTGGTGAGTGGGCCGGCCGGCCTGCGGCGCTTCCTGTAGCTAATTCGGCCGTTACTGTGTCCCCGAATGCTTCTGACTCCGCCTGCGTTTTCGCTCGCGGACGCGACCGAAAAAATGTCCCTACCAGCCCTCCACTGTTTTAGGTGAATTTGTCGTTGCGTGCCCCGCTATGACTGGACTCGCCGCCGGCGCGCTCGCCCGCGGCCGCTGACTAAAACATATCCCCACCAGCCTACTGCTAGAGCCCCCGTGGCGCCACTTGCAGCCAAGCGCTGCCCTGCACGTCGGTGCTTGGCTCCCATCGCCCACCCGGCAACGAAGGCCCGATCATCGCCCTGCAGACCCTCGCCCTGGCGGCCCCCCCCACCACGGGCCCTGCCCGGTGCGGGCCCCCATCCCTGGTACTTCGCTCTGATCGCGGCTGTTAGCTGCTTCCCCACGCCCGCCCTGGCTGCCGCCCCCCGTCCGCCCCTGGTCCTCCGCCCCCCACGTTCCCCACGGCTTTTGACATTCATCCCGCGGCTGTTAGCTGCGCCCTCCTTCTCCTCTGTGACGCGCCGCTGGTCCCCCTCGGCCGCCCCCCGTCCGACCCTTGGCCACCGTCCCCACGCTCCCCTCGACGTCGGTCCTCACAGCGGCTGCTGCCCCCCGGGGCTCTTCACGATTTCTGCGGCTGTTAAGCTACATCCCCACACCCGCCCTCCGTCTGCCCCCAAACCCCCGCCCCCCCCCCCACACACTTTCGCATCATGGGCCCAGGCTTTCGCGGTGGTCCGTCGCTTTCCTGGTCCGTCCGGCCCGTCCCTCCTCCTTTGCGGCAGTCCCCCCGCAGGAGGTACCCGGGCCCACCCACTGTGAGCCCAGGCTTTCGCGGCGGTCAGCCGCTTTCCTGGTCCGTCCGGCCCGTCCCTCCTCCTGTGCGGTTGTCCCCCCGCAGGAGGTGCCAAGGCCCACCCACTGTCTTCACTATTTCTGCTGCTGTTAGCTGCGCCCTCCACCCACAGTGCGACCTTTGCCTCCGTCGCCCCCCGCCTCCGCTGGCACACCTCCTCGGCCCCCGGCGCCCCCCCAGGGCGTTGGGGCCGGTGCCAGCAGGTATTTTTGTCTAGGCCGTCCATCCCCCCGCGGCTGTCCCCCCGCAGGAGGTGCTCGGGCCCACCCACAGTGCGACCGTGGCCTCGGCCCCCGTCGCTCTCCGCCTCCACTGGATCCGCTCGGGGGCCATGACTCGCCCGTGGTGCGCCGCTAGTTTGGCCAGATCGCCCCGCCGGCCGGGCCTTCGGGATACAGGCTCTCTCCCCCAGCGATGGGTCACGCCTTCCCCGACGGCCCGCTCGCCCATATGGAAGTAGGTGGTCACGCGGCACCGTGCCTTACGACTGCGGCGGGGCGCTGGTTCTGCATTCGGCACAAGCAGACCCAACGCCGAGGAAGGGTCTGCCAGAAGTGACGCTACTGCAAAGTGGGCGCCGTCGCCACCACCAGTCTGGCCCAGTGGTCGTTTTCGCTAGCTTCGTCTGAGCTGCGGTTGAGCCTGCCCCGCCGCTTAGTCTGCATTTTTCCGCTGCTCGTTAGCTGCACGCTTGCGGTCCCGTGCTAGGCCGTAGTAAGTTAGGTCTTTGCTACTCGGCAATTCCCTGACGGCGCGCGGCTCTTCCCTTTTGCGCTCGCGAACAAAAGCGTCCCCACCAGCCCATCCAGAAACGATGCCCATGAGAGTTGACGGGGGGGAGAGGAACAGACACGCATAGTCAAACAGCGAGGCAAACCTGGGAGGCTCCGTGGCCATCTCGAGCCGTCTTGGCACGGTCTTGGGATCATCTTGGGAACCAGCGTGCGCCAGCTTGGGCTATCTGAGCCATCTTGGTGGTCATCTTGGGCTCTCTGAGGCCGCTCGGGGGCCTCTTGGGGGCCTTTCGGGTGCCTCTTGGAGGCCTCTTGGGGTTGGAGCTTCTTGGGGCGCTCTTTGGGCCCTCTTGGGAACCCCTTGGGAGCTCTGGAAGGCCTCTTGGGGCCATCTTGGAGGCGGTCGGTCAAAAGAGGGGGGGTGCTCGATGTTCGTCCCCCCCTCGGGGGCCACGATCCTCGCGATGGGTATCAAAAAATTGCCCTTTCAGGGGCCGAAAAAAGAAGGCATTCAGACACTTCGCGGCCCCTCCCCAAAAAAAAACCTCAGGGAGGGGGGGGGGAGGGTTCCCTGTCCCGAAGGGAAGAGGGGTTGTCGAAGAGGAAAGGTACCCTCAGACCACCTGTCGCCCAAAGGGGGTGCTGGGATTTTGTTCAGCCTTTTCCAGGCCGTGCCGAAGACTTGTTGTTTTAGATCTTTGCCGATGTCTCAGGGTTGTGCGACCTTTTGGTGCCTCTGCAGGTCATTTGGGCCGTCTTCGGCCAGTTTAAAGGCATATCGAAACCGCCTTTAGACGGTCCTGGGTCGTTTGCCGTCTTGTGGCTGCGGAGATCGTTGGTGGTGCGCTGGTGGGCGGATCGGACGCACGAGCTCGCTGATTCGCGTGGGACACGGCCAGACAAGCGATCCGCCCGTTCCTGGGCCGCCTTGGGGATCTTGGAGCCGTTTTGAATTTTGGGGCCCCGCCTCCATTTCGCTCGTTTACTTGTGCCCAGCGTGTTGCGCCAGCGCCTGGCTATCCAGCGTGTCGTCATCAAGATGCCAATCGCGATCCTCAGGCTGGCCCGCAATGGCCTTCAGTTGCCGGACGTCACCCTCGGAGCAACACAAGGCGGGCCTGGGCTACGGTAGGTTCGTGCGGCATTGGCGCGCCAGCGACTCCAGCGAAGGCGTTCAAGTTTGAATGTTGCACCCTTGCGCGCGTTCACGCTTGAACGATCTAGTTTCGCCTGTTCGTGTGCATGATCATTCGTGCTGCTGCTACTTTCTTCTTTTTCACATACCTCCTATCGCGGTCGTTGCCATTATCACTACTGGTTCCTCACCCTTTTTGTGCTCGTTCCTCCCTGAGACCCTTCCGTGGCCTAATTCTTCCTGCACGAATCTCGTCGCAGGCGGGTCAATCGAGTTGTTTTAGGGGGTCCGGCGTGTCTTCTGCGAACCCGAGGCCGACGACCCGTCTGGCTTTGTTTTTCGGTTATCGTGCGCATGTTTTCAATTGTGTTTCCGGGAAACAGTTCGAAAGGCGTCAAGCGGTTTCTGACTTTGAAAGGAGTCGCCCTCCATCCGGATACTTTCGTTAGGTGTAGTGCAATTTTGAATTTCTAGCTCCCAACGCAGTGTTTGCTTCTCACGGTTGTTACCTGTGTTCCTGAGCGGCTGGATGGGTTGACCGAGACTTCGCCACGCTCGCGCCCGTCAACTCCTTTGGGCGCCTCTTGCCGATATTTAGCCGCGCTGACGCCCGTCACCGTCCGTAGGCGCCTCATGGGCGTCCTGCGCGCTGGCTGGGCTTGCCCGGTCTTCGCTGCGCTGGCACCTGTCACCGCCCGTGGCCGCTTCGTTGGCGCCCGTCAGCGTTTGTGGGCGTCTCGCGGGCGTCCCGTACGCTGTGTGGCCGCAGAGTTGACACCGGTTAATTTATACCGCATCGCTTGCACCACATCGTTTGCGCCGCACATTTTACACGACATAGCCTACATCGCATTGCTTACACGACCCAGGTTGCAACACACAGCTAACACCACATAGCTCTTTACACCGCTCAGTTTGCACAGCATGCGTTGTACCGCATGGCATTCACATCCACGTAGCAATAATTATGTGGTTGGAGCCCAGGCTGGCAAACGCAGGAAAGTTGGAACAAGTCTCAAGCGAGACCCTCACTTTGAAAAGGAGCCGCCCTCCATCCGTGTCAGGTGTCGCAAGCGGTACGCGCGGCTTGAAAACCGGCCGCCATCTGTCTGCGTCACCAGATGCAAGTGGTTAAGGCGTATGCATGCGGCGCTGAAGCGAGAGCCATATATCATGTTCAAAACGGGTCGCCCTTCATTTGCGTAATCGCTGCAACATGCTACAACGGATGTGATTGCGGTGCTGAGGCGAGGGCTAGATTTGTAAAACCGGGCCACCTTCCGTCTGCGTAACCTGCTGAGAAC